CTTTATTATGCAGGCTCCTGAGGTCCTTGTTCACCCTCACATGAGCTGTTTATTACTACTAAATAATACTGTCAGAATATTATGGGTTTCATGGAATCTGGTCTCTTTCTGGTGTAAGAGAAGGCAACCTTTGGGTGAGGAAATACTGAAAAGTGCCCTGAAGCAGCCAGTCCCTGGGTGGCAGGGTGTGTGGAAGGATTTGGGCAGGTTCCTAGGACAGTTATAACCCCCTATATCCTGGGATTTTACACCTGAAGAGGCATGCAACCCTGGCAAACTATTGCACCTCTTGATGGAAGGGTGCCTGGCCTACCCTGATGAGAACCAGCAGCTTCTAGCGCTGTCCTGGGGCCTGGCCTGTGCCTATCGAGCCACAGTTCAGTACTCTCAGAGGACCGCGGTTGAGGCAGGGACCCAGACCACACCTGAGGACACCACGGTTGAGACAGGGATCCAAACAACAACTACAGTAATCGCCCCACTGGTGACAAAGAAACAGTGGACAAGGAGAACAACTGGTCCATAACATCGATTAGTGAGGGCAGAGGAAGAAGAGGAAAGTTTTGATCAAGAAGCTGATCCTTGGAACTTGGAGGAAGGAGTGAGAGAACTGAAACAGGAAGCAGAGACTACGCGGTCCATGACCTCATCAGAGATTTGAGACATGCGGAAAGATTACAGCTGCCAGCCAGGTGAGCAGATTGCTGCCTGGCTGCTCCCATGCTGGGATAATGGGGCCGACAGTCAGCAACTGGAAAGAAGGGAAGCCCAGCAGCTGGGATCCCTTGCTAGAAGCCGGGGGATCGAAAGAGGAATTGGGAGAGAGGCAGCAGTTTGCAGTCTCTGGAGACGGTTCCTCTCAAGTGTGAAAGCCAGATATCCATTCAAGGAAGATCTTGTGAACTCCCTGGGAAAGTGGACTACTGCAGATGAAGGCTTGGCGGGCACCTGGCATTCAGGCAAGGTCAACCCACCACATTACAGAATTATTCCTGGAATCATAAGGATTTCTTTGTCTCTTTTACCACTGAGTTCCAAACATTGATTACGTTGGCTATGGACAGCTGCTTCTGTTGAAGTATGTCAGACAGGTAAAAAACCATTACAGTCTATCAGAGGTGATGAGATGCTCA